TCCAGGGCAATCTGGGAAAAAAAATTGGGAATTGGGATCAAAAATCGGAAAAATCGGAGCAGAAATGGGCAAAATCGGAGAAAAAACGGCTCAGAAATGGCCAAAAACGGCTAAAAATGGCTCATCCAAGGCAGCTTTTGCCAGCAGCCCTTGTCATCCAGAGCCTTGGCAGCTTCCAGGGCAATCTGGGAAAAAAAAATTGGGATTTGGAAAAAATTATGGAATGGGGGGATTGAGGGGTGGAGCAGAATGGATCAGAAATGGATCGAAAATGGGTCAGAAATGAGCAAAAACGGCTTAAAAATACCTAAAAATGGCAAAAAAAATGGCGCAAAATGTCTCCCACATGAAATTCACAGAAGAATTCAGAATTTTTCAGGATTTCCCAAAACTTTTTTCCCAAAATGAGCCCAAAACATCCCAAAACCTCATCCTGCAACATCCTCGAATTTCCTGAAACGAAATTCCCGAAACCGCCCGAAATGAAGGTCCCAGAACATCCCAGAACATCCCAGAATGTCCCAGAATTGTCCCAGAACATCCCAAAATCCCAAAAAAGTTCTGAAATCCCCTAAAATCCCCCAAAATCCCGTTTTTGGGGTGCACCTCGATGTTGCCGCACTCCAGCGCCAGCCCGAAGCGCGTTTTCTCGTCCTTGACGAAATGCAGAGCGACCTCGGGGTAGCCCTTCTTCTGCAGGTACGCGATGATGGACTGGCCCACCAGCTTGGCGTTCCTCACCATGTGCAGGACCTGAAAAATATCCCAAAAATATCCTGAAAATATCCTGAAAATATCCTGAAAATATCCTTAAAATATCCCGAAAACATCCTGAGAGTATCCTGAAAATATCCTCAGAATATCCCAGGAACTGTCCCACCAGCTTGGCGTTCCTCACCATGTGTAAAACCTGCAAAATATCCCAAAAATATCCTAAAAATATCCTGAAAATATCCTGAAAATATCCCAAAAATATCCTGAAAATATCCTGAAAATATCCTGAGACTATCACAAAAACTGCCCCACCAGCTTGGCGTTCCTCACCATGTGTAAAACCTGCAAAATATCCCAAAAACACCCTGAAAATATCCTAAAAATATCCTGAAAATATCCTAAAAATATCCTGAAAATATCCCCAAAGACAAGAGAAAAATATCCCGAAAATATCCCAGGAACTGGCCCACCAGCTTGGCGTTCCTCACCATGTGCAAGACCTGAAAAATATCCCAAAAACATCCCGAAAATATCCCGAAAATATCCTGAAAATATCCTAAAAATATCCTGAAAATGTCCTGAAAATATCCTAAAAATATCCTGAGAATATACTGAAAATATCCCAGGAACTGCCCCACCAGCTTGGCGTTCCTCACCATGTGCAGGACCTGCAGAAACACCCCAAAAACATCTGAAAAATCCTAAAAATACCCTGAGAATATCCTAAAAATATCCTGAAAATATCCCAAAAATATCCTGAGAGTATCCTGAAAATATTCTCAGAATACCCCAGGAACTGCCCCACCAGCTTGGCGTTCCTCACCATGTGCAGGACCTGAAAAATACCCCAAAAATATCCTAAAAATATCCTGAAAATATCCTGAAAATATTATAAAAACTTCCCCAAATGTCACCAAATCCCTCAAACCCTTTTGGGATTTGCCCTTTTTGGGTTTTTTTTTCTCACCTCGTCGTATTTGCGGTTGATGAGGGCGAGTTTGAAGCGGAACTCGGTGGGGTCGATGATCCATAAACCATCCCAAACCATCCCAAATAACCCCAAAATCCCCTCTAACCCATTCCAAATGACCCCAAACCCTTTTAGGATTGTCCCTTTTGGGGTTTTTTTGGGATTTTTCCTCACCTCGTCGTATTTGCGGTTGATGAGGGCAAGTTTGAAGCGGAACTCGGTGGGGTCGATGATCCATAAACCATCCCAAATGACCCCAAATCCATCCCAAATGACCCCAAATCCTTTTAGGGTTGTCCCTTTTGGGGTTTTTTTAGGATTTTTTCTCACCTCGTCGTATTTGCGGTTGATGAGGGCGAGTTTGAAGCGGAACTCGGTGGGGTCGATGGTCCATAAACCATCCCAAAC